ATATATATTTAACTATTATACGAGTACGCTATTTAATGAATGACTATAATAACACAACACCTTTACACAAACATCACGTATCACAATTATATTTATATAATAAATACATATACATGTAATGTATATGAATGTATATATGCAGGTAATATATAATAATAGTTAATAAATTGTGTTATGCACGAATGCAATCGAGAGTGATTGGATCCGCCATTGTTGCGGTTGAAATGAAAAATCACCTCGACCTTGGCGAACGTTGGACAGATTGGAACCAAGTATAATATTAAGTAGTAGTAACAACGACGTGCCAATTCTAATCGTATGATTTAACGAAACAACAATGAGTTCTCAAAATAGATATGAATCATGGATCGTAATAAACGTTTTGTAGAAACTTTAATAACTTCATCGCGATTATCTTTACCTATCTAAGAAAATTATCTACGATAAAAAGCTAATCCATGTATCTGATTATTAATGTTAAAAACATAAGCGTACGTACGTCACGTGCCGATACATGTATTTTATTATATATACGTATATGAATAATTGATTAGTTACTTTGAAACGGTATTACAATCTTTATTTTTCTAATAATAAAAAAATACTTTCTATTGATATACGTTTTAATATCGTTCATAATTATTTTAAAGATAAATAAATTATTTTTACTTTCAGGCACAAGTTTTTTCAAATAAATTAAAGAAAAATAATAATATTTGAAAGTATCTTTAACTAATCATAAGATTATATATCACGTATTTCTTACGTATGTATTTGTGTCATTAGAGAGTAAGAAAAACAAAGGATCAATTTCAATAAGATCTTCATCTTAATCATGATCATCATCATCGGATTTATCTTTCTAATTATTCGTGTACACCGATCACGATATCCTTGTGCATGTATGCATATTTCACGTTGACGTCACTAAAGCTCACCTCGTCCACTTCTTCTTCCTCTTTTTCTTTTTCTTCCTCTTCTTCTTGGAAAGGTATTCGGCCATTCAATAGCATAGCTTCGAAATTTAAAACCAGCAAACGATAACACGAGAATCGATCGTAATAAAAGTTATCAAGTTTAAAAGATAATTCATCTTTTTAGAAAATTCTTCTTTAAAATAACAAATGAAATCATCTTTATTTATAATCCGATAATAAATGTAAGTAATTATCATACTAATGCCTACTCTAACAAATAAACAAAATACCTTTTAAAAATTTGTTTCTTATCAATAAATTTCTGATATGACCAGATAAAAAAAAACAATTAATCGTACTTTTCGAAAGTATCCAGGTAAAATGGTAGAACGATAATGTGTTTCAAAAAAATCATTTTTACTCGTAAACTCAAAAATAAATGTAATATATCTACTCTAACATTTTCGTAATAGATTATTTGTGAAAAAAAGAAAAACTCGTTTTTGTTATCGACAAATTGACGACATTACTGGATAGAAAAAAAAGAAAGAATATTCACACTTTTCGTACATACCCAGGTAGGAGGGAAGAAGAACACGTCAAGCGAATCTCCTCTTGAATGGTGGTCGCAGCAAACACAAATACACACATACACGGTTTTAAATAGATTACAAAAAAATGTATACATATACATATACATATAAATGTATATAATATATAACTATATATAAATCTATTTTATATATATATACTTTTTTGTTCA